CTTCACATCGATCATTCTCCTGCCTCTCTCAAACTGTTTCCTATAATTTCTCCCACAGCTTCCACAATAATTCGGATCCAATTCTTCACGCTCCGTGAACATTTGACATTGTCCCGCGCAAAAGGTAAGATGTGATGGCATGAAACTCGTGAGATGAAAATGTAATTCGCAATGTGCTGGGAAGAAAGCGACAGGACAACAGTGACGACATGAACGTTGGGGTCCAGGTATGACGGGAAATGTACTCTCCGGTCGACCCATAGCAAGAGGTGGGTTGAAATCAAGAATCTGATGACGACCATGTGAGAGATAGACGTTGTGAATATATTTACTACATAACAAAGTTAAGAAAATGATCATACGAAGGAGTTTAGGTAGTACAAACTTCATGAGACTGAAACAGACTGCATCAATAGGATTAAGATACTTGAAGATTCCCATGATAATCTCCGGAGGTGTAGTAATGAATGGTTTATGCTTCTTCTCCACCAATTCTAGTTTATCCTTTATAACTGATGAGTCCTCATCTCTGCAAGGGAGAGATACAGGCGATTCCGCAGGAGTTGGTGCCGATGGAAAGACCATTTTGAGAATCTCTTCCTCAAAGGGCTTCAAATATTCTACATGACTGCGTTCTTCGAAGAGGTCCGAACCAGCTTCCTGAATCACACTTATCGGAACATGAGTCATGTTGTAAGATGTATTCGAAGAGGAAGAAGAACGGCGAGATGGTAAAGGGGTTATGTGAGGAATATGTGTTTTCGGATCACCATCATCAAGACGGATGTTTGCACCAGCCTCACCAATCTTTTTCGTGGCCATCTTTTGTATGACAATTTACAATTTTGAGTGACAATTATCAGGTGACTGTTATGAAATGGTAAGGTAAGATTACTTGGCTGTGTGAAGAGTGAGCGGAGGCCTTTGATCACCAATGAATCATAACCAGGCATAGGAATGACTAACCTACTTGAGAATGAAGAATGAATTCCAAAATCGAAGACGAATTCTCACGACGGAGTATAGAGTATGATGATATTATCAAGATTAATATCAATTTCGAGGAAAAGAAGAATAGTTTCTCGAACGCCCAAGTAAATAAACAGTTACTGTAGTTGATATAGTCGAGGAAAGGCCGAGTTCATGAAGTAGGGAGTGGTGGAGGTTCAATTAAAGCTTGTTTAGAGGTGTTTAAGTTGCCAAATTAGTCCACGGGTGAATGAATCACTTTATTCTTCAACTACTTGTAATGGATAGGTAGCGACATACTTATATTTTGTTAGGTGCAATTCTATTTTGAATGGATTTGTAAATAGGTACCTACAATCTACCTAGGTAGTGAATAGTGAATTCATCATGAGATGTATTAAAATACTTTCCTATTTATGTTTAAGCGTCTGGTTTTTCTTCAAGCTTCTATAAGTCATTCTCATATATGTTTGTCCGCTGCTCATTTATACTGCAAGAGACAATTTGTGGTTCTAGAATGTCAGATGGAACGAAGATGGAAGACGGCAAACGGAATATCAAATAGAATTGAAAAGGCAGGAGAGAGAAGTGTTAGTGACAGTATACAGTCAGACTATAGTGGATACTTGTACCATAGCAATACATCGTAGAATAGCTTGATCAATATCCAAGTAGTCAAAACTACAGCAGATACTTAAACCTTTGTAATACAAACAACCCAAATTTATATACTCTAGAGCTTTTGACTCCTCCCAATGCAAATGAATATAATACATCTCATACTGCTTTTACATACCAACAGGCATAGCTTTCAGATGCCCATTCTTATCATATCTAGCCTCTATTGAATAGATTATTATCTTTCTGACCTTTATGTTTAAATCAGAAAATAACTTACTGAAAAATGTATAACTCAGAGTAACCTGCTCAATCCCTCTCATATTCGGATCATTGACGAAATCCGGATCGATATAGAAAAATACTGGCATATCAACCGTTTCCCCAGCATTCAACCTTTGCTCCTCGAAACAAAAACATTGAATCTTGCTAAAATATGGAGCCACTTGTCCAGGCGTCACACTATAAGTTGCCACCCCAATTATATCCTCATCGGACTTGTTCGTAGCGGTATAAAATGCCAATGCCGTTTCTCCTGGTAAGACCCGAACTTCTCTCTGCTGTGGTGTGAATTTCCATGGTAGAACATCCGAGACTGAACCATTAAAGGTTACTCGTATACGTTTTGCAGAAGTGACGGGTCTAAGTCGTTCGGATGGATCTTCTCCATCTACACCACTACCGCCGTGTCCGGGTGCTTTGATCGGCTGACCTCCCCATCCTGTAGTTTGGCAGATCTGGAGAAGTATATATTAGCTTAGGAGGAATCAAGTGGCGTGTAATGAAATATACCATTTTATACATTGGCACGGAGCCATATGAGAAGGCTACAGTTCCTAGAATAATACTGAGTGTATAGTACATAGTCGAACTATTCTTTTGTGAGAATGGCGCTCTCAATTGTTCCATCGTTGGTGCTACATTTCCTCGAGGGGTTGAATTATTGGAAATACTTCTGCTCATTGAAGGTTTGAAAAATGGTGTATTTGTTCGCTTTGATTTCGCACATGATGTACATATCCAATTGGCATTTTTGCTACTCAGAGCCCTCGATATGCGTGGTATGGAATTCATTATGTGAATGGAAAGTTGTCTGTTGATGTAAAATCAAATGTATGATTGAGAAAGAGTATTGACTAGGATCGGATCATGAACGGGATTTGAATGAGTAAGATAATCCGGGCCCGAAATCTGGGGAAATTAATCGGTCAACTCGGGATGTGTCAGCAATGAATCCTCGAAAGATTTTGAGACAATGGTAAAAGGCATAACATCTTAAATTGCTGAAAGTATCCGATTTACCATCGATTTATTAAACATATCATGACATCGTATTCAATGTCGTCAAATAATGAATCTCCTCCTTTCTCTGCAAGTTGATTACAAAGGAAAGAGGGGTGAACCAGCTGGCAGTCAAACTAATATCATTCAATGACATCAGGACAGAGCACTGAGATGAATCCAGACGTGTCCAAGCATTATAAAATTTCATCATAAGGAAATCATCTAATTGCAAAGATTAATATAAAACTCCTCATCTCAGTCCCTTATTCCAATTCATCATGCTTTCACCAACCATCCGGAATTTACTTGTCAAAGGAAGCCACACCACCAAATATACTCCCCGTCTACTCTCCACGCACAGAAGGACAACTTCGTTCAAGATTCCCATTCCATTGAGTATCCAAAATCGCAATATGGCGTCTAAAACCCCCAATTCATCGCCCCCTTCTCACGATATGGTCTATTTTCCTCAAATGACCTCGGATCTTCCAGCTTCTTCTCATGAATTCCGTAGAGTACTTGTATGTGCATCAGAATTTCCTTCTTTCTCATAACATTGCTTCATCCCACTATATGCCGTGCATCCCAATGCATTATACTACTCCTCTCCCTCCATTTCCCCCTCGTTCTCTCCTATTACCACCCACTATTCCATTTAATCTTGGACTGACACTTCCCCAGTTCACAGGTCTCTACTCCCAAGTCGTCCTCATGACCATCCCCGTCGGCGGCGACATAGGTGACGAAGTCCACACAGTCGACCAAGCTCTTACCTTTACTTCTGGCACTGGTCTCGCTACCATCAACGGTAAAGATCAAGAGGTCAGAAAGGGAGATTTAATGGTCGTACCAGCGGGTACTCAACATCAATTTGTAAACACGGGGAAAGAACCATTGATTCTGTATACGATTTATTCGCCAGCAGAACATGCACCAACTACAGTGCATAAGACGAAAGAGGAAGGTGATAAAGAGGAAGATGAAGGAAAAGATGAAGCTCCGGCTTGGTCCAGGAAGAGTAAGGAGGAGAATGAGAAGGAGGGATTGGTAAAGTTGAGTGGAAAGTATGATTAGAAGAGGGTGGGAATGAGGAATAAATGTGAGGTTAGTGTTATAGGGAGATTTGCGTGATAATAATGAGATATATCCTAGCTGTTGAAAGTCGATAGATATAAAGGAAATGCATTTTGAACATCAACCTATATTTGATATAATGATACCGTACCTTATTTTATACTCCATAAATCCACCCTCGTAAGTCTCACTCATTCTTGATACCTTCACCACAAGCCCCATATATCTTCATGAAAATCATTCATCGAACTCCAAAGTCGTCTAATAAAAATGCCCCTCCTCTCGGTCCCGCCCATCTGCACCTATGACTAACATCCACCCCACTCCACTCCATTTTTTCACCCACGCTTGATTAGATAAATTTATACACAAATAATTGGCCCCCCTCCATCAAATCAAGCAACAAAACAAGCAAGTTGGCGCAGTGGAAGCGCGCCGGGCTCATAACCCGGAGGTCCCCAGATCGAAACTGGGACTTGCTATGTTTGCGATCTGGTCCCTTTTTGTGGGTTTTTGGGGGTTTGGGAAGGGGAAATTGGGGGAAGAGTAAATAGGATGTCTATAATTTTGGGGAGATGTTATATATAAAAAATTCCTTTCTTTCTCCTCTTTTTGAGGGTACAATGGTAGTGGAGGGGTAAGAAGGAAGGAAAAGAAAGGATGTGGAGTGCAGTAAAGTGTATGAAAACTTATTGCGTGTGAGGGAAGAAATTGCTCATTTCGTTATCGTCTCCGAGTCTTTCTCTTTTTTCTTTTTTGGGGGGGATGATAACTCTCAGGTCAGGAAACGGGCGATTGTACACAATTTTAACCGAGGGCAATTCATCTTCACGATTTTGCATATTTTGGGGAATCTGGATAAGTGTTCAGTTTTATGTGTGAGGATCTGGGGATGACGGTGTTTGTATTTTATTTTGAGCTTCTACGACGAGGGTCATGAAATTCCATTCCGTGAGAAGAGGAAAGAGTTGGGATAGTTCCCCCTCGCAAGACAATATGGGACTTTCCTATGTATAGTTTAGGATCGAAGACGAGCAGGATAAATGTCTTGTATATTGATGAGCAAGACACTTTCATTATAATTATCACTCTACAAAGTTCCCAAACCAAATACTCCCCATACAACTAATTCCCAGTCGTCTAAGTTTCCCATTACAACAATTCAAAAACTTAAACGCAAAACACATGGTATACACCAGGTTAATAACCCCACAGTATAAATTAATACTCAAACATCCTTCAAACTCCCAATAATACCCAATAGTGCAACGATAGCCGCAGCCGCCGTCACAATATACAAAGCCAATGTCCAAGCTGTGATCACATCACCAGTCACTGCCATGAACCAAGTTCCTACTATGAGACTGAGAAGCAGCGGGGTGATGACTACGGCGCTGAGTCGATATGGAGACCTGTTTATTTGTCATATGTTAGTATTGTATCTCATATCATATCAGATTGTTCATCTTCATCTTTTTGAATCGTCACCAGAGATCAAAGAAGAAGAAAGAAATTCAACTAACCAATCATAAACCAACTCCAAACTCCACCTCCCCTCCAACGGTCCTTTCGCCCTCTCTGCGCTCCCCTCTGCCCCATCCTTCCTCCCACCCCCCTCATTCAAACTCTTCTCCACCCACCCCAACCACGCCCTCCCCACATCCTCATCCCACTCTCCCATCCCAAACCACGGGACACTCCTCCTCTTCACCTGATACGCCGCAAAAAACTTCCTCAACACCATTTTCTCCTCTTCTCTCAACCCAATCTTCGTATGCGCACCGCGCTCAATATCGCATTTATACAGCCCAAAACCCGCCAGCGATTTGAGGGAGAAGAAACGTCGAGCGCCTCGCAGAGAACGCTCTGCGTGATGCAGAGAGGAGAAGAGTGTATCGGGGGAGGAGAGGGAGATGTAGGTTTCGTGGGGATCGAGGGAGGAGGTGGGGAAGTAGCCGAGGACTAGGTAGGGGGATTGAGGGGGGAGGAGAAGAGTAGTGAGGGCTTGGAGAGAGGAGGTGGTGGCGGATAAGGGACGATTGAAGATGGGGCAGGAAGTTGAGGGGGGGTCGGAGTGGGAATTGGAGGGTTGCCTCATTCTGCTGGTGAGTTTGTGTAAGCAGGAACGGGAAAGAGAGTGGGTGGAGGATTCATGAGACTGTGTGCTTGCTGGATTAGAGACAGATTGATGAGCGGGAGCCAATTGGGTCAGTGTATCTGTAGTTAGTTCAGTTACCGATTGCTCGCTATCATCCGTTTGCGTGTCCTCGGATTGCGATGGACATGAATTTTCCCCCGTAGTAGATTCTCTCGAAATCTCAATCCCTATCTGAGAATTCCTCTTCCTCTCCTCCCTCTCTTCTCTCTTATACCTCAACCTATCCAAAACCCTTCTACAAGCCACCCATAGAATCCTCCTCTTCCTCGCCATCAAATAAAGCAACCAAAGTCTCGGTTCCTCCATCTTCCTCAACCACTCAACTCTCTTCTCCCACTCTTGTCTCCGTTCCACCTGCCACCATTTCAATTCCCTGAGTTTGCGCTCAAGATTTTTTTTCTCCTCTCCAAAAGCATGGAACATGGGAGAATATTCAGAGTAATTGTAATTACCGGATTGCAGCTGCAAGAAGAGACGTGCTTCGTTGCAGGTGAGTCCTACGCGACGAGCGCAGGATTCGTCGGCCCAGAAGAGATTCCCGTTGGAGGATTTGATGACTGCGGGAACGGGTCCGAGGGTGGGTGAATCGGAGAATTCATGGGTGCTCATCGAGGAGCGGGCATGGTGGGAGGCTGTACTAGGGACGAGGGATTGAGAGGGAGAGGTGCTGGAGCTGTTTATTGAGGAGAGGCTAAGGGTGGTGGGAGCACCGTCTTCTATGTCGTAGGACATGATGATAGGGATACGGAAAGAAGATATAACAGATCTAAAGAGTAGAGTACAACTGATCTCATGAAGAGTTCGCTTGTGCACAAGGACCTAGAGATTGAAAGAACGAAGGTAGATGAAAGACAGAACCCAAAAACCAAAACGCAAACCGTATGAGAATCTATCGGAATTCAACACTCTGAAGCCACTCAAGAACTCTGCAATAATGATTCTTCCAAACAAAACGTCTCATCTCTCCCCTTTATATCCTCACATCCTCCTTCGCGCCTGAGCTGTATCACCAAATGACCCTTTCCTTTCATCCTCTCCCACCCACCAACATCACGAAACAACTTCTGGAAACTCATTTTCTGTCCATAAATATTCACGATCAACGACAGTAACTCTTAAAGTTTATAAAAAAACTTTCCTCGCGTGTTTTATGATCATTGTGCTTCCTCATTGGTCAGGAGTCTTCAAGATGACTTTTTGATCTCGTAAGCATTTGTCCTGTGATCTACTGATCGATGGGAGTGTAATGTCACAATGTTGCGTTATGGGAAAGTTAAGAGAGGAACAAGAAGAGATTGGTAGGTAAAATTGTGCTTTGTAAATTGATACTCTTTGAAATTAAGAATAAATATAATAACATCTAGATAGGTGGATAACGTGGTTTATCAGTGAATGGGTCATATCAGTAAATAGGTTACTTTCACTTTAATTTACACTTTTTTCTTTTAATATATATTTTATTAACAACCCACAATGAATTCGAATAATTAAAAAGCTTATATACTTTTTACTATCGAAGCTATTTAAAAAAATAAAAAAATAAGTATTCGAAAAACTATAAAGATATATAATATCCTAAAAATAATATTATAATATAAAATCAAAGGTTTTATCCCTCACTCCAAATATCAATCTAAATCTTATAATCTTTTAGAATTAAAAAAAATATTATTTCTAAATATATAATTAATATAAATTTGAAAGGTTTTTTATTTAAATTTAAAAATATGAAAGATATAGCAAATCATATTCTTAAATTGAGGAATACAAAATGTATTAAAAAGCTCTAGGCATATTGATTCATAAAGCATCGAATTGAATTAAAGATATGTTTTAATTATATTTATAACTTTCAAAAAACTTTCTATAAGAATCCTAAACTCCTTAAAGAATAGTTTCAATTAATTACAAATATACAAGCGAAATATAATATTTTAAACAGAGATTTCTATAATTTCGATAAAATAGGCTTTATAATAAGGATTATATATACAATAATGATAATAATTAATACTAAACGAAATAATAGAAGTAAGGCAGTATAGTTAGGCAATCAAGAATAGACTATAACAATAATATGCGGAAATAGAGAGGATGAAATTATTCCCTCATTTCTAGTAGTTCAAGAATAAGTTCATCTTTTTAATTAATATATCAAAACAAATCTTCCTATAGAATGAATTATTAAACTTATATTTAATAGATGGATAAATAATAAAACAGGTTTAGAATAATTAAAACACTTTAATAAGCACATTAAAAATCAAAAAAAGAACAAATATCAAATATTAATACTAAATAAATATAAAAACTATAAATCAATAGCTTTTTAAATATATTATAAAAAGAATAATATTATATATTTATATTTACTATTACATTCAAATTATTTAACTCAATCATTTGATATTAACTATTTTAGCAATCTGAAATGTTTATAAGTTATAATAATCAAATTAATGAATTTATTAAAGTATATATCAATTATATTTCAAAGGTTGAATTCTTTATAGCTTTTAAAGCTACATATAAGGAATCAATTACTTCTCAGAATATAAAATCAAAATTCCAAAGAATAGATTTAATCCTATTTAATTCTAAAACTATATTTTTGAAATTAAATATTCAAATTCATATACTTACCCCCTCTTCTTTCAATCTAAATCAATAAATCTTTTAAACCCCTTATAATTTAATTAAAGCTTTTTCTTAATTAATATTGATTAAATCTCGAATAACTTATTATTAAATAAGCTCCCCTACATCTATATTTAAAATTATACTAACTCTAATTAAAAGTACAAAAAGATTAGCTTATAAAAATACACTTTTAAATATAAAGAATTATATATTTCGAATAGCAAATGAAGTATTAAGTAAACATTAACATATAAAAAAAACCTAATTATATTAAGAAGAAGTATTTACTAGATAAAAGGCTTTTAATATATTATCTTAATAAAAGATTAATATTCAAATTCAATATAATAAATATTAAAAAGAAAGTAAATCCAATAAAAAAGCATTTTTTATTCAATATTATAGTAAATATGAAAAGACAGATTACAATATAAGAACCTATCAAAATAATATAATAGATTCTAAATTATTAAAATCTTTATAATTTCAATTAATTAATTCGATTATTATTGAATAATATAATTTTGAAAATGTAAATTGAAATGAGAGTGATTTATTCACTAATATAACCCATTCACTGATAAACCATGTTAGATGAAATAGGTAATAATCTTAATAAATACCTGACTAGGCATATATCGACCCAACCACTTAGCAAAACCGGATGGATTAAGCTGGATCTTGTCTATTGAAACGGGAGGGGTAGAAAGATATATGTAACTTGGAAGTCTTTCTTGTTCAATACCTTCATTTCACGTATTTGAAGCAAGATGTAACAAGAAAGCGTGTTGAATCCAAGAGTAGATGTGGTAACTCCCCTTAGCACCAGAAGTGGAACGGATAGAATGTGTTGATAACCCAAAAATATTCCGGATAAGAGTCTCTGGAAATCAACTATTTATTGATTTATTATATAGTTCTTTTGCTTGTATTTACAACTTGTCTTGTCATATACCAACCATAAATCTAATAAATATGAAAGAGAATACTAGATACAAGTATAATGAGGAATTATACCTCATATCCTAAACTATCCCACCAGCCCATACGTATATTGTAAACAGACTCAAATAATCGAGTCATTCACCAAGTCATACCAGACAATACAACTTCCTCATACACACATAGTGGCAGCCTGATGTATCAAGACAGGTGAGCTTATACTGATGTTTACAAAACAAACTTTGTAGGTGATGAAATCATTCAAGTATCGTAAAACTATAAACTAGAGAGAATGTGATGAACCAGGTCTTTCACCACCCTCTTCTGACATATCCGAATCGGTAAATAGTTCCACGGACTGTGTTCGCCTATCACGATCATCATTATCCTCATCTGTCCTACTTCCCTCAAAATTTCCCAATGAAATCCTCTTCCTACTCATCCTAATCGTTTCATCCGATGGAACATTATTATTTCCATCTTTCGAAATAGTTTCCTGTTCCATATTCCCATTCCCATTTCCATTCCCTAACATTATTGAATCCCCCTTTGTCATTTCTCCACCCATCCAAATCGATGTAATCGGTGTTCTCTCCAACGCAGTCGTAGGAGTCGTTTGCGCATCACTATCATCTCCATCTCCTATGGTCCATCTCCACTTTCTCTTCTTGTCCTTGCGCTTACGTTTTCGCAACCCGGGAGTTTCTAACCCACTCTCTGCCATTCTTCTTCGCATTTCTTCAAATGGTCCCGGTGTCTGTCCTCCATCGCGTGTTTCATCACCAGTGTATTGCATGGTTGTGTCGAGAGGATCTAAGATTGGAAATTCGGGATTTGTGGCTGAATGAGGAGAGTCTTCGGAGAGAAGATCGATGTGCGATTTTACATATTTATTAGTGGTGATGGTTTGGGTTAAAGGGTCATCGTATTCTACTTTCTTCGTGCCTTTGTTTGCTAATCGCGTTGCGAGTCGACTTGCAGTATTTGGTGTTGCAGGTGCAATGGTGCTTGGAGGTGGAAGTGGTGAGTTTCGAAGGATACTGTGGAGGGATTTGGGATGTGTATACGGAGTAAGTCGTCTCATACTTCGCGGCGATGCACTATTCGAAGCTTGCGATGAAAAGGTAAACATCTTTTTATCGGATGAGCCAGCTGAATGTGGAGGGGTAAATGTGAAGTTGAGGGAATCTTTGGGGTGAGCTGAATCTGGGTGAGCTGAACTTGGAGTATCGGGATATGATATCGCAAATGGTCCAGGAGTCGCAGTGCGCTCTGATGGATGTATATATCCATCTTCTGCTTTTATATTCGTTTGAAGTCGTGTCGTCTGAAGTCGTGAAGGCATGGGTTGAATTCTCAAGGACGGTCTAGCTTCAAGGCTTGCCGGCTTTGATACTTGTGGTGAGACATTTTCAATTGCTGTTGCGTATGCATTCGAAAGTGTGTTAAATGCAGTTGGTGATGATGGATTAATGTCTGATTTTAAGGCTGTGGAGGATTTTCCAATGGTTTGCGGAGCAGATGGGGTCTTGATCTGTAAAGACAACTTCGGTCTCTTTGGTGGTGACGAATGCCGAGGAGGGAAAGACATAACTATAGAGGGGCACTCTTGAACAGGTGCCAGCATCATAATCGGAGATTTGGTAGGATTCTTAATAAAGTCTTCCTTGACTGTATTCTGGTCCGTGGTATGAGAGTTTGTACTTGGATGTTGAGTGTTCGTCTAAGAATCGAGACTTTGATTTGGGTCACAAAAAAGTCACAGATGGCCTAGGTATCTTAGATATAATGTGTCTAATCTACCGATAACAAGGCGTAGTCGTAAACTTCGTCAAATGATTTCGTAATCTCGTAAGGCGTAAGACAAATGAGTGGGAAGAGGAAAAAAAAAAGATATGAATAACTTGTCCTCAGGTGAAACCAACAGTGACCGTGCCGCAGCTATATGTATATCACCATCGACCTTTGCCTAGGCCAAGAAAATAGATGAATAAAATAAAACTGGGGAGAAGTTCTGATGGAGAGTGCTTAGAGTTTAAGCACAGTCTTATCACCTGTCATGCATCTGCTAATTAAGTTTGAAATGCTTATGCTTGTGAGGTATGGGAATAGGCGCGATGTTTATAGAAACGATGTGACGAGGGGCTTGCGGTGCAGGTTAAAAGAATTGAACCAAGCAAATAGAAATATTTCATTGATTTCCACGCACTACAGGTTGACAAGCATTCGGGATGGTCATCAAACCACCTTACTAGACTCATCTCATAGACCCATATAAGGATTCAATGGTTGTTGTGGCTCCTTGAAGCGCTGTGGAAGGATTTCCCGAGAGGTTGAATAGTACAAGTATTGAGGAGTTAGCTACCTTAGCTTAGTTTACGGAGCGGCGATGGTAAGCCATCGAGTTGGACGTTTCTATGATAGTCAAGGTGGTAGCAGTGGTTGGATTAGCAAATTGGAGTAGTGAACTGAGATGGAGTAACAGATTTGGGCTGAATCTAGGATCTCGGACTATCGGAGTGGATGGGTCCATGGGTGGGTGGCGCCTATGCAAGGATTTTTTCTGAATATCACACCGCTTGAGCAAATAGATCTTTGGACTTGGAAAATCAAGACTATTCAAGACGATTGGTTGTTTCAGGGAATGGGACCAGTGAGTGTGGTGGCTTGATCTTATTATAGGCATTCTTGCAATATCAACTGTTACTTTTAATAATTGATTTTGGCCCTTTAGTCCTCCTTAAGTAATTGATCCCATGTGCTATTTATGTTATTTCAATCAATATTTCATGACAGATCAATAGGATACCTAGTCATATCTAGTAGAACCTCCTCTCATAACAGCCTTGTAGCCCTGTGAAATGGCTCTATCCGTTCTCTAGAGACCAATAGCTGAGACGCTCTTTGGCGTTAGCACCGGTATCGCTTATTGAATAGGTGATAATGACAAGGAAACAATACGATTGGAAACGAATAATGGATGAGATCTATGGGGTAAAATCTTGGCTTCAACATATGATTGACTTTGAATACAATCTAATTGTTACATAAAATTAACTATGCTTTCATGTGTCTGGTTGATCGTATTCGAAAATATTGAGTTTATCATTCCGAGAACCACTTTCTGGTGGCGAAGGCGATGAAGGGGTTACGAAGGCAAAAGGGGCGATGGCGATGGCGATGGCGACGGCGATAATGCTACAAAGTTTACACAGTACATCGTACTCGTACTGTATCCACTGAGTCCGCCTACAGTGTAAAGTATTTTCTTGGTAACTCTCCACATCAAACGCGTGACTTATAAGATGTATCTCAAAATAGAATTCTCGAAAAGAAAGATCTCCAAACTCCACCATGAGTCCACCATGAGATATGTTTAGACATGTTTAGACATGGTTAGACATGCTCGACATGTAAACGTGTCTTGGAAGCAAATTTCCGCACAGAGTTCTAAGAATGGCATCTTTGATTCTGGCAGTCTGGGTCAAGCTCATCGACTAAGGTGTACTATTGCTTATCGATAAGCTCCACCCGTCTGACATTCTACATTTTGAGATCAAGGCAAAGGTATATCCGATGATAACTCGGTATGTTTGACGGCGACTTACACCATGCATCCATACATTTTGATATCCAAACGGATGGATCTACCTAGGTAGAGTATCATTGACAACAATCCTAATCCTTCTCTTTGCTGTCAAACTTGGCATCTTCTCTTCTTCCCATAACCTTCTTTCGGATGAGACTTTATTCACTAGGCCCAAGACAAAGACCAAGGTTCAATATCACGATACCATACGAGACCATACGAGACGACACGATGAATTGAGTTCAAAAGCATAAATGGGACCAACATCTTCACATCCACCTGTCTCATCGTCGCTAGCAAACTCAAAGTACCACTGAGCTAATAATAATTCATAATGGCAAGAAAGGATCATAGGATAATCATACATTTTGTTAGTCAGCCCCCTTAGGATTTCTATATTCAGAACTACTTCGTAAACAAACACGTCACTTCCAAAAAGTGTCTATTCTGATAATCGGAGTTTGTAGGATTATGACTGTTTCTACGCGTCTGTCTTTGAGAATGAGAATCCCGCTCTAAAATCAGTACCTTTGGTAAATACTCACATTTGACTTCCTCTCTCTGTCTTTCTCCGATCTACGAAACGCGGCTGATGTAACAAGTAGGCTGTACAACAGGTAAGACGTTCATTGGCAAAGTCGACTTAAAATAGTACAAACTCTCCATATGTATATTCCAATTCTAAGTGATCCCTTTAGAAACAAATCATCGTCACATGCAATTATGAAGCTCGACGTCGTGGTCTGAGTAAATTACAATTAATCCATGAAGCCAAGAAAATCTGTCCCGATGTTGTTATTGTGTTGGGAGAAGAGTTGGGTCGATTCCGTGATGCCTCCAAAATGTTATATAAACATTGTGAAAAGTTCAGTTGGTCGGGAAAAGTCGAACGGTTAGGATTTGATGAAGTATTCATGGACGTCACAGATATTGTCGACTATAATCAGAAACTTCTCAATCCAAATGGTTTGACCCACTCCTTCCTTCAAATGGACCGTAATGATCCTACCGCGGGGTTTGCTTTTGATGCCACGAAGATTGCTGGCCATGGCTATCCCGATCTGCAGCCGTGCGGCGAAGCATCCCCTCAGTATACACTGAATTCGGGGTCGCCGAATAATGATATCGGACTACTTACGCGGTTGATTTTGGGTTCACATCTTGCCCAGCATTTAAGATCTAGCCTGGAAGAAGAAAAGGGCTACACTTCAACTGTTGGTATATCCACAAACAAACTTTTGAGTAAACTGGTAGGCAACCTTCACAAACCAAAAGGTCAAACAACTCTTCTCCCACCCTATGAAGTGTTACCCAGTGATGATGGACTACAGAGCAACGTCACAAAATTCATTGATAGCCATGATATTGGTAAAATACCTGGTATTGGGTTCAAAATGTCTCAACGTATTCGGAACCATGTTCTGTCACGTCCAGCCGATTTTGAAAGTGGGTTGATTTATGGAGGTACCAAAGAATCTGTTACAGTCCGTGATGTACGTGCCTTCCCCGGAATTGGTCCTGAGATACTCGAACAGCTGCTCGGGGGATCGGGAGCAGAGAGAGGTATCGGAGGTAAGACTTGGGCATTGATCAATGGTCGCGATGATTCAGTTGTGAAGGATATCCGAAAGGTACCATCCCAAATCTCAATCGAGGATTCATATATCAAGCTTGATACTATGCCACAGCTAACAAAAGAGCTTCGGATGCTTGCAACGAGTCTCTTGAATAGAATGCACCAAGATTTACTTGAAGGTGATGAAAAATCTAAGATACCATCAAAACGATGGATAGCTTATCCCAAAACACTCCGTTTATCGACCCGACCCCGTCCACCCTTGAATGCAGATGGCACCAGAACCCGAAGTTTCAATCGAATCTCAAGGTCCGGACCCCTACCCAATTTCATTTTCAATTTAAAAGATGGTATAGATAGCATTGTCGAACGACTCATCCAAGAATCTTTAATCCCCATGTTTCGAAAATTACATCCCCAGAAATCGGATTGGAACCTGAGTCTGGTCAATATCGGAGTCACCAATATGATTGAGGCAGCGAGTGAAGATGGATCTTCAGGCGGCGTGGGTAGAAACATAGGCAGCATGTTCAAGGGACAAGAAGCGAGGCTTAAAGAGTGGAAGGTGCAGGATAGAGACACGCCTCCTGATTTCGTGGCAGTTAGGAATCAGCTTCCTGTAAAGAAGCATCCTTCCAGTGATCGTGTTGAGACAGAATATACCATGGGCTCAGAAAATTTAGTTCGGTCGCAAGATACGGTGGACGAAGTAGATTTCTGGAATGTGGAGGATGAGGATGAGAATGAGGAAATGGATCATCGGGAAATATGTCATGTGTGTGGTGCCATGATGCCCGCTTTTGCAATGCCAGCTCATGAACGCTTTCACAACTGGGAGGGGGAATGAAAATATCATTTATGAAGTGGGACCATACCATTTGGAATGAATTGATGACTTGTCATTACTATTATTACTATGGAGGAGTGGGAGTGGGAGTGAGCATGGACAAGGAAGCATGAAGAGATAACAGACCCGGGAGAGTGGAATGCCATACATACATGACATACTGTAGAAACTAGAACAAGATACCCATCTCATCTCATTGCTTCGATACCCCATAGCTATAATATAGCTAGCGTATCATGATAAAAAATCAATGTTGACAAACCCACTCCCCAGGGCCAGAAGTATCGAAGTACCCGCATTACATATCGCACCCTATAAATATCTACGTACATATCTACTAGGTATTATATACACATAGGTACCTAGTGCTGCCTATCCTATCTTATGTTGTCTCACCTCGCACACAGACGAATGAATAATTTATAATTTATTTCTCCTAGAAAAACCAACCACCAGCCACCGCCCACCTAACTTCCCAAATCCAGATACCCAAATCCAAAAGATTTTTTTTGGAAATACGAATACCATGGATGGGAGAACCGGACGATCAACTCCATGATCACCGGGGAAGTGGAACTACTGCATTCTATACTTGTGGATGCTATAATACTTGACAAGTCATCATTTTGGTATGGGGAACGAGGATTGTGTTCCTTTGATTGTGGAGTTGGTGGGAATTTGTGGATGGATATGTGGATGTTTGGGTAGGGTAGGGTAGGGTAGGGCAGGGTGGGAGAACGAGAAGAAGAAAGGAAGGGAAGAAGAAAGGAAGGGAAGAAAGAAGAGGAAGAGGAAGAGGAGAGGAAGAGGAAGAGGAAGAGGAAGAGGAAGAGGAAGAGGAAGAGGAAGAGGAAGAGAAGAGGAAGAGGAAGAGGAAGAGGAAGAGGAAGAGGAAGAGGAAGAGGAAGAGGAAGAGGAAGAGGAAGAGGAAGAGGAAGAGGAAGGAAGAGGAAGAGGAAGAGGAAGAGGAAGAGGAAGAGAAGAGGAAAAAGAGAAGAAGAAAAAGAAGGAAAGAGAGAGACAATCAGCATAACATGATAAGGACGAGGGAAAATACGATATGATATCTAAACTATACCTGTATTTCTACCTCTTAACCCCTATTCTTTTCTATTCTACTCTACTCTACTCTTCTCCATCATTATAGATACAAATCTACTTTATACACACAATAGAGAAGAGTCCTCATTTCGTACATATAAATATAAATATAAGTATATCTGCATAGATAATTTGAATCGTTGATACCAGTTTCCTATCAAATCGCAAATCCCAAATAAGCAATTGCTACATGATATATCTACCTACCTAGTAGTCACTCGAAGTAATCCTACAACAATATTAATCCAATTGATTGCCTACAAAATCATGCATGTACATCCAATTATACATATCTACCCATCTAGGTACTTAGAATACTTTTGTTGTCGTCTCATCATGATCAAAAGACATCGATGTCCTATCTATCTTGTTTTGTTGATTCCTTACTATTTACCATCTCTATGTTTATTTACAAATATCTCCAATCCTGTCTCTATCCGCGGTAAAACTATATTCACCATCTCATCACAATATATTCGGTATTAGTTCTAGAGTTTTACTCATGATGGCGTAGAATTGAATCATGATCCTCAATAGATAGGTATAGATCGTATATTAGACGAGACGAAGAAAATCAATTGTTCATGAGTGCCATGAGAATGATCTTTGTATGCTTTAAATTCACATCGTTCTCTCTCATACGCAAAAATAAAGTATCTCAAAAAAGATTCAGTCAGTCAGAATTTGTATTTCTGACATCCCAGCCATGCTAATCAAAAAAATGCATATCTCCAAGAAATCATCGCACAACCCCAAAACTCCCACCAAGAGCCAATTTTGTTGTATCCCTCATTATTTGACCATCATCATATCATACTAAATACTCATAAAGAAACTCTTCTCTCCCTCTCTTGGTTTCACCTCCGCTCTCTTCAAAATTGGATCCGCACAGCTAACCCTAATCCTTTCTGGTGTTGCGGGACTTTCCAATACCAGTAATCCGCCACCCTTAAAATCCTCCCCAATTTCAGCCTCGACTCCATATTCCTTCCTAGCAGCCTTCAATGCATCTCTAATGGCAAAGAATACTGCACTACCCATGAAAAGTGGCGGTTCACCTACTCCTCTACTCCTCTGGATAGTTTTGAGATCTTCCCATTCCACGCCTTTAAGGAGAGAAACATTAAACTCTTGAGGAATGTCTCTAAATCCAGGGATTTTGTATGCACCAGGTCCACGAGTAGCAAGTTGTCCAGCCATTGGTCCAGCACGGAACCAGAGGGATTCCTCCGTAGTAAATAATCCCATTCCTTGTACAAAAGCACCTTCAATCTGTCCATAATCAATAGATGGATTGATAGAGCGGCCAACATCCATTTTGACATCGGAACGTAGACATGTCCAATCACCAGTTAGAGTATCGATTTCAACTTCTGAGGCTGTAACTCCTTGGGTGAAGTAGAAGAACATTTGTCCGGTGTTAGGTCCCCATGTATAACCAATATCTGGAGTCTTGTAAAATCCATTTGCGGAAAGATTGACACGGTCGAAGTAGGCTGCATGAGCTAGCTGTTTCATTGTGGCATCAGGGCCGAATTTCTCTCTGTATGGAGCAAGTCGTTCATTGATTTGAGCGCAGGCATTAAAGATAGCATATCCATTCAGATCGGAAGAAGCTGATGCAGCAGTAGAAGAGGTGTTAGCTACTGTGTTAGTGGCAGTTTCCGAGATGAATACATTTTCCAAGGGAACGCCAAGTGCTTCGGCAGCAACCATCATCATTTTCGTATGAAGACCTTGTCCCATTTCAGTACCACCGTGAGCCACAAGAACGGATCCATCGTGATAGATATGGACTAATGCTCCGGCTTGGTTGAGGAATAGTGCTGTGAAAGAGATACCAAACTTTGTAGGTACAATCGCGAGTCCTCTCTTTTTCCACTTATGCTCTGCGTTAAATTTGATGATTGCCTCTCGCCTTGCTGCATAATTCGATTCTTCCTGGACCTGCTTATACATCAATGGCACATGCCAATCCTTAAGAGCTTGGTTGAAATGAGTTTGCTCGTTTGCCTTGTAGAAATTAATCTCTCTGAGTTTCTCAGCCGGCATACCCAGACGGTCTGCCACTTCTTCGATATATGATTCCGCCATATATAAACCTTGAGGTCCACCGAATCCTCGGAATGCAGTATTTGACATAGTATTTGTCTTGCAAACACGACCTCGGACATGAATATTGGGGATCATGTAACAATTATCAGAATGTGATAATGATCGATCCAATACAGCACCAGAAAGATCTTGCGTCCACCCTCCATTGCAGAACATGTCCAAATCAAGTGCTTGAATTTTGCCGTCTTTATTGATGGCAACTTTCCACCTAGATAAGAAAGGATGTCTTTGACCAGATGTCATCATATCTTCATCACGATTGAGCATGCAACGGACTGGTTTACCAGTCTTTTTGGCTGCAAGAGCTACAATACCACATAATTGTATGGAACGCGTCTCTTTTCCACCGAAACCACCTCCAAGTCTCTTGACCTTACTCACGACTTTGTTTGCAGCAACGTCACAAACTTGCGCCACATAAGTTTGACTGATAGATTGTTAGCTGAAGAAAATTACTGCATTCGATTTCACCTACGTTTCGGTTGGATTTTGAGTCCCAGACCAGATTTCCATTTCCCCGTCCTCGATTTTAGGTATTGCCACACAAGCATTAGTTTCCAGGTAGAAGTGCTCTTGTCCACCCATTCTAGAAACACCAGTAAAGACATGATCCGCCTCTTCGAATGCCTTTTCTGGTTCTCCTTTCTTTATAAACCTGTAATGATCGAAGAAACTTTCCTTTTCGATGGCTTCTTCCATTGTGAAAATTGCTGGTAACTCTTCATACTCGATTTTAACAGCTCGAGCTCCTGCACTTGCATGTGCTGCGCTATCAGCAAGAACTATACCAATCGGTTGGCCTGTTGTAAATACTTCATCGACAGCAAAGAATGGTTCGTCACAAACTGGTGCTCCCCAGAAGTTGGCTTCTGGACTTGGCATATCTTTATGATCAACATATTGAACTACACCTGGTAGATCCAGTGCAGGAGCAGAATTGACGCTCAAGATATTAGCATGTGCCTTCGATGACAAAACTAAGCATCCATATAACTCATTCTTCTGGACTGGGATGTCGTCGGTATATTGTGCTTCTCCGCATGTTTGCTTGAGGGCAGCTACATGTGGACTTGCTTTCCCGAGAACATTCTGTTGGTAGGCAACAGTGGCTTCTCTATCTTCTTTGCCGAAAGATATTATACGTTCAATCTCTGGTACAACTTGTGCATCTACTTCCAAGTCCTTGATCTCGAAGCTAGATAAAATTTCATGATAGAAGCGATAGAAAAAGCCGAATGCAAGTGATTTGCGGTAAGTCGCCATTCCTCCGGGAACGCTAAAACTAAGATTGAAGTCCTCTTCCAAAGCATTCATGGTTCCTTCTAAAGTTGCGGGATCTGAAAACTTTTTGCCTAACAAATAAGCACCGGTCTTTCTAGCAGCGATTGTGGTTGGAGCCATTCCTCCGTATACTAGACTTGCACTAGTTACAATATGCGACTCGTCAATAGCAACCCTAAGAGCTGCATTGACGATGGCAATATCATCATCCTTACGTTTCGACTGCTTGTATGCTCTTAAGTATTCTCCCTTTTGAGTCACGGGGATACGAATGCTAGCAATGATTGCATCAGGGGCGAGTGCGGTCAATCTGTAACCTTTGAAGAATTCAGACATGGGGATTTCTGTCTCCTTATCTACAGATCTTGCGACTAGAATAGCATTCGATGCAACAAAGACAGGGTTGAGATCGGAGATAGGAGAAGCAGTAGCTAGATTTCCTGCTGGGGTACCGACATTTCTAATCTGTCGGCCTGCGAAATATTTCAACTGTTTATGGATTGCTCTATAGATAGTGTTAGTATGGAGAACTTGTCGAATGCGATCTTGCTTTTGTTGTAAGAGGCTTGTGCATCCTCACGTCGCCCGAAGGAGATATATAGCAAGATTCAATGATAGACACGAAAGCATCAATGGCAAGAACATGCAAAGTTCTGAGATAAATGGATATGCTTACTTGAAAACTTGGCCCTTTTCGGGTCCGTAATGTTTCTCTGCTTGTTGGACAATCGACTCCAAATCCGTGAGGATGACATTACCACCGATCTCTAAATGGTCATCCTTGAATGAAAATTGTCTTAATTCAGGAATATCCCCGACGAAAACCGAGGCTGTGTATTGCATAGCCTTGAATTTGATCTCGATTTGCGTTTCTGTACTTCCGCCGATAATTTTTGCCGATGGGTATACGCTCTTTATCTCTAATAGCTGTTCCATAGTCACAGGACGATACCACTTCTTCTTCTTATTGCCAAAAGCTAGAGGTTTGAATTCATGCCTCATAAGTGGTGGGGGAAATATGAGCTCAGTATCCGGGTTGTATTCGATAAATCCAGGAGGTGTGAAACGTTTGATGGGTTGATCATCCTTCAATTCGTTCTTACAGCATCCACCACTACCTCCGCCATTATCCATGCAACATCCACCTCCACCATTGCTTTTAGATTTTCCACATGCAGCCCCAGAACTGAAAGTTTGGGCTGCATCCAGAATTGGACGATATCCTGTACACCTACAAAGGTTTCCATCGAACGCTTCTTCTACATCATGTTCCGAAGGGTTTGAATCATTCCGCAAAAGTGCATACAAGCTCATAACTATGCCTGGGGTGCAGAAACCACACTGACTACCATTTCCTTTCGCAATTCTCTCTTGCGTAGCATGCGGCCTCTTTGTATTTCCGATCCCTTCTATTGTTATAACATGCTTTCCGTCAACACTGACCAGTGGCGCTAAGCATGCGTTCACACTTGCGTGATATATCTTCTTGGTGGTTGGATTGTATTGTGAAACAACAACTGTGCAGGCTCCACATCCTCCTTCTGCACATCCTAGCTTCGTGCCCGTGAGGCCAATGCCACGGAGATATTCAAGAAGAGTGATCTCTGGATCCATATTATCGAGGACAACTCGTGTGCCATTCAAATAGAAACGAAGGGTATCATCGTAAGAGGTTGTTACGGAAGAGAGGGAGTGTCTGGAGGCAAGAGAGACTGCAGGTTCCGGTGAGGAATTCGGGGAAACAGCAATGGGTGCCATTGTGAGTTGTGAGAGTGGTACCTCCCTAAGGTTAATTATCGAGAAATATAGGTCGTCAACGCCCCTTTCAAGATGTGTTTCCTGCCACAATGATCGTTCAGTGCGTCTTGAATGTCAGTTTCTTTAAATCGATGAGACAATGAGAAGCAGACAACAAATAGGAAAAGAACAGAATATTTTCAAGAGAGAAGATATCTTTGCTTAAGGAGGAAATAATAATATACTGGGCCTGCTTCTTATCTTGCAACTTAGGCCGATGGAGGTCTCCGATATATCTCAGACTAATACTCTAGACCAATCTCTTGGAAGATTCAGAGAGTGAGTGAAGGCGGGGTTGAAGTGATATGAGGTGGCAATAACTCTCAAGCAGGTACACCTATGTAAAAGTATTCATTGTCTAAGGGTATTTCCAATAGATATGTCAGGATTAGGACTTGTACCCCCAAAATTGGCAGGTGAGTGAACACCCGAGACAACCCCAAATGATGCTTACCATCTCATTACCTTCATTCGTTGGGTAACTCAAACTTGATAACTTATACGAGGATACTTTAGTAACTTTTGATGGATAGTGGGGTTAGAGATTCGGACGTTGAAGCTTAGCCAAACTTCAACTTCGGATATCGCCTGGAGTTGTGTGATTAGTCATGACTTATTACATAATCTCGCATGCAATTGGGTCAGTACTTTTCCCTTACTTCATCGACGACAACGCCATCAACACTGCATCTACCTATCACCCAACATCTATACTTCTTGAATTTTTATACATTGACGATACCACTTTCTTGTATGCTAGCCCATTATCGCACGAGGTCAATGTCAATCACAATTCCAGCTATTGCATTCATGATGTCCAGCTCGTTTGAATTCAGGTGCTGCTAGCAAGAACAAGCCTCAAAATGGACCTTTCCCCTCCAACAAGCAGCGACCATCAACCAACCATATCTTCAACAGTCAAGTTGCTGTTGATGGCTATTGTGGGATGCTTTAAGTAAATCACTTGAAATCGGCAACTCAATTCCCATTATTCCAACACTGGGTAGTTCTTTCGTGTTGTGATTGAATGTATGTTCAAGAAAACATTAAAATATGAGACCCTTTCTTATATAATTCCAACAGAAGTTTCCCCTCTTAATAAGTTTACGGACTACCACAACTACTTTTGCTTTCTTACATGAATACTTTTTCTCGGCTTGGTTACTTGTTGGCTTCTGATATTCACATAGCTATCATCCTTGTCAATTTGTCGCCCTTGATGTGTGTGTGTTTTTTGATGAATCTAGAAACATGCAAGTGCGTTCCTAATGGAGTGTTTGATACTTCGACGATGCCCTGGGAGTCCGGAGTATGATTTCAAACTCTTCAGCCGTTCAGCTTTCGGACTCACAGTTAGCCACTTTCAATGCATGATCCATGCGCGATGCGAGCCGCATTACAGACTCGTATACCGTGCACACAAATTTGTCTTGCTTTAAGTGATTGAACTGAGAGCAATAGGGTCGTCTGAAGTAGCTATTTGAAAGGATTGATATCTGCCATCCACCTGTCACATCGCATCGCAATGCCCCACTCGCGATCAGTGCAAACATCTTTGTTTCGAGTAGCGACTGTATCCAAACTCCGAGCGTGCACTTCATGAAACAGCCTTTCCGAACTCAAGACTCCATACAATAGCTAATCTAGAGGCATTATTCAAATTTCTATCTTATGAGCTAGCCAATTAAAACTGTAAATAAAAGCTCCTGCTTACAGGTCGCATGATTGTAATCACGTGCCGGATGTGCTGTGAGAACTTTCGGATGAAGAATGCACGTTAATGCTTCAACTGTGGTAAATTAATTAGTTGTAACAATGAGTTGCGAACGCTTCCTTTAATTGGATGTCTGTTATGGGCTCATGGAGCTTGCTCAAAATTTACATCCATGTATGTTGACAGTAGACAATGTATATAAGGACGACGAATAACCACCTAGTTTACAACATCATATCATCACTTTTAGCTAATCTCTCCAAACAATTGTCCGGCACAATCTCAACAATTCATAATTTTAAAAGACTTCTCGATCCATAATCATCAGCACATACAACCACAAATCTCAACATGGCTATCACCGAAAGAGTTATCCTATCTGTTAGCGGAGGAGTTGAAGAATGGAAAGACGGCCTCAAATTCATGCTTCAAACATTGAAGACTCAAGAAGGTTATCTTCGCACTCGGTATGCACCTATCTTCATCATTCATCCGTAACACATCTCTAACAAGCACAAAAGCTGGGGACCCCACAGCGAAGATCAACAAAAACTCGAGCTTCTCATCGGTTGGGAATCTACTGAAGCTTTCACCAAATTTCAGGGTAACTTTCCACTCATCCCATTATTTTACCCTTATTACTTATCTCAACCACAACATCCATCTAACTCTCCACCCCAGCAACCCCCGCCTTCCAAGACCTGCTCGCCCAAGTTAAACCCCACCTCACCGCTCCCCCAAACCTAACCCTCATCGAATTCAAACCCTACGCCCCCAAAGAAGTCATCGACGCCCACTTCGTCCAAATGCTCACCATCGAACAAGGCGTCTCCTCCGAAGACGATCTCCGCGCTCAAATCACCAAGTTCAAAGATCTAGAAGGCTGCACCGGGGTTGCATCAGGTCTTTCCAAAGATGATGTGGATGGAAAGGGAAAATTGTTTGTAGCGGCCGTGGGATGGGAAAGTTTAGAAGCGAGCGAGAAGGCGAGGGATAGTAAGGTTGTCGTGCTTAGTGGGGCGGAGAGTCACCACGTGAACTTTAGATTCCCGATTAAGGGCTTCCGTGGGTTGTGAGGAGGTGTTGTGGATGAGGGCATAATGATGAGGAGAGCTTATCCTGGAATCTAAGAAGTTGGCGTGGATAGCATTTTGAGTTGACTGCTGGGAAGTCGACTATTCTGATGCTTCTTTGTTCATTCATCTTGGGGTTGGGAGAAGAAGATATCTGAAATTATCATATGTGCTGGTCACTTCTTGTCTCATCTTATACTACTTTTTCCCTTCTCATACTCGTGATTAAGTCATCCAATTTCTATAACTCGTACACCATATATATATCTATCTAGACTCTGAACAATCACAGCTTCCTCCCAGAAGAAAATTCAAAGAAGTTTCTGAAAGGAGAAGAATCCTGACATACAGTGATTTTTAATTATGTATGCACGTCTTAAAAAAGTAATTACCAAGGAAAAAAACTTACGTGAATTCCAACTCGAGCTCGTTACAAGGTAGGCATCTCTCTCTGTGTATGTATGATTCTGTCTCACTCATTCAACGTCAATTGGCTAGGTCACTGGGTACACAGCATAGTTAAATGAGAAGAGCTTAGGTAGCTACGAGGCCTAGTGCCCATATCGTCCGAATATTACTGGGCGAGATCTTATTAGGGTTGAGACTCATTGAGACCGGAATAACCTAGCTATTATAATAAAACCACTGTAGACTATCTGTAAAACTTTTAGATAATCTCTACTGTATAACTTAGATAATTTGCAGATGATCTACAAATCATTTTTCTACCTGTAGGTAGGCAGATTTTTTTGCAAATAGTCTGTAATTTACTTGTTTGAAAATCTCAATAATCTGCCCTGCAAGCCAATAATCTGCATACATCTGTCCACACCCGATGTATATAGCGAAAAGCATAGCAAAGCATAAGACATGTCTTTCATCCGTGCAATAGTCGATCTTCCAGCACCTCTTGTGCAGCCAATCTAACATCCCACAACTACCACATCTTCATCTCACCATCCACTCAAACACTAAGAATCGAACTTCAGCCCCCCAAATCTCTGCACCAAAAGCCTCTTCAAACTCCCAGCATCATTACAATATCCCGCAATCAGTATTGATTTATTAGCCCATCGTTTACACGCTTCATCTTGATCTGCGCTGAAGAGATCGATGGCATGGTTGAAGGATTTACTGGCTAGCCAGTCGAGTTCTTGAGTTGGGTAAGGGATTTCCGTCTGATTTTTGGGCTGCGTGTTAGTTCTCTCTGCTGCACGCCGGGAATTTCAAGTGGCATAAGAGAATAGAAAAAGAGAAAGGGAAATAGAATGAAAAACGAGAAGAGAGAATGTAAGAGTAATTCAAAGACGTACCTCGGCAGCATCGGCAGCAAGCATGCATACCTGATCGATAAGTTCCTCTGCAATCTTGTCGTCCGATCCCAGAGCCGCCTGAAATAGACAACGCATGTATTTTGACAATTTGATAGTATCGAATTCTTCCATTTCCCAAGTTTTATTTGTGATTTTTTTGAGAGTCATGATTAAGACTGTGGTTAGAAAGAAATATGTTTTAGTATATAGGGTTTTCCCAGAGCAATATTGCAGATAGTAAAGGAAAAAGCGGCAAGAGAGACGGGGAGAAAGGGGAGAAAGGGGAGAAAAAGAATAAGCGAGAAGAACAAACCTTGAGTAGGAGCCTCACAACTCAAGATACAATCCGCCATCAATTCATAGACCCTCATACTCTTACAAATCCCTGCTTTAAGTATAATCTCTCCAAGTCCATCCCAATCTTTCAACCTACACGCGGCTTCAAAATCAAATGCAAGGAGAACAGACAGTTTCTTCAACAAATCTTCTGTAATTTCCACTTCCAACTTCTCCAGCTTTTCCTGTAGTATATGATCAAAACTGGCTACATGTTTCCTCAAGTTGAGATAGAACTGTAATCGTGATTCGACATTCTGTTCGGCTCTTGCGATAGAAACGAAAATAGTCGCAGCGCAGAAATTGCAGAACATTTTTCGGAGTGTAACGTCCTCATGAGCATCTTCACCAATATCTTGAGGGTAGCGATCAATGAAGCCGATGCAGCAGGCGAGCATTCTAAGAGATTGTTGAGGTTCCCAAACGGAAAGATGTTTGATTGATAGGTTGTAGGAGTTTCGGGAAAACCATTCGAGTTCGAGGATTGTCCATATCTCTCGATTGAGGGATTTTTGAATGGTGTTGAGTGCTGTGATTAAATGGTCAGTAAATTTTCTCTCAAAAATGTGTAAATTTATTACCCTTTTCGAACATTGTACATAATTTCTCAATCTTCTCTCTGGCGTAATTAGTTGGTGTGTTCTCGGCGTCAATCATACCAATAAGTAGAACAATAATCATCCTGAGAATCGACGGAAGGCGCACATTCTCCTGCGCACCATATCCACGCTTATGTACTACCAAACAAAGTGCATCTAAAACATGCTTCTTGTTGCCAACTTTTTGTGCATCAAGAACACAAGCGAAAAGCAGCGAAGGATCTTCGGTACATGAAGCAACCTTTTCAAGACACTCTGCTGCTAACTCTACCTCCTCACTCCTGATTGCTATTTTGTACATAAGAAATCGTGTTAATGGCTCTTCTTTCGCTGCATTAGACATTGATGCGAAAATACCCCGGGCGGAATTGATATCCCCTCGATTGAGGAAGCAGAGAAGAAGTTTCCTATCTATATATTAGCCACGACCACTCGTCAGAGAATAGGAACAAACCGAAATATCTTAGCCATGTTAGCCTCTCCTGGTATCTTAAACAATCTATGAATTGCAAGATGACACCATTTCTCAGTTACTTCATACTGCTTTAGTCCGTAGTTTGCTTCTATCTTCTTCCAGATTAACTATATTAAATTAGTCCTTTGTCTGTTCAATGACCACAAGGTCACCAACCGTATGAGCAGCCATAGTAGCCTCGACACCGATCGACTTCTCAATGTTCTGCGCAATCATGGTAAGGAATCCTTCAATAGCAACAAATAATTCTTCAGTCTCTCTGCCACTAACACCCATCCAGATCCTCGTAAGAAGAGCCTTCTCTAACCATTCTGTCATAGTCACCAACTCGTTGACTCGTAATCTAATCATCTCATCCAGAACACCACATGCCAAACTCGGCGCCTTTTCATGAAGTTTCCTAACATGGAACATGAATAATCGCAAATTCGTCGGATTGAAAACAAGAGTTCGAATCATCTTGTTGAGAATAGCACTATAAGTCAAACCATCGAAAGTTTCATTTGGAATCTCCGTCAGAAGTTCCAGTTTCAAAAGAAGAACTATCAATTTATCTCCAAGTTCGCACTCGAGAAGGTCGATCAAGTCTCTTGCCCGTTGTATGGACTCTGGTGTTTTGGTCTCCAAGAGTGCCTTGATGAGCGATTGAACAATAGATATTCGCAATTCTGTAGCATCGGCGCTCAATTTGTCCAACTCGTCACCACTTAGAACTTCATAAGCACGCTCCAGCCATTTGACAGACAATGCATGCTGTTCCTTCTCAAGTAGTGCCTTTCCCATCTCATATAAGGTATCCGAGAGACTTTCGGTGGTAGCATGATCGAAGAGTTCTTTGGAGGACATTGATTTATTAAACATATGTTCAGCGAGTTGCATATCTTCCTGTCGCCATGCCTATAAAATACGTTAGCAGATACTCTGCAGTGCTACTATGAACTTACCAATAAGGTTCTCAGGACAAAATACTCTGCAGTCAATCTCGCGCAGGCTGCTCTTTCTTCTGAAGTACTAGAGAATTCGTATGTACGTAGAAGTTCTTCACTGTATCCCGTATATCCTGCAAGCTTCTCCAAGACTTTGACGGCATAATCGATCTTCTGTCCATCTATTCCACATCTAAGTATTAGCGATAGCTCGTAGCGTCTGGCTCTTTGCCCCATAGACAAAACAAGGCAGGTAAACATACCCAAGCAGTCTTTTCCGGTCTTGATTCCCACTCTCATCAATCTCAACAAGTTTCTCCTGGACTTCTCCCCCTTCTCTTTCTCTTTATCTCCACCAGTACCAGCTCGTATGTGAGCGACAGAATTCTCACACTCATTCGCACAATCCAACACCAGAAAAGCGAACATTCTAACCATGATCAACACAGCCCTAAGTTCATTCTTTTTATCCCAAGTCTTCGATCCTCGATCCTCATCCTCATCACTCTCCGCAGGGAGACTCCTCTTCAACCTAGTCGCAACATTCCAAATACCCGTCGCCTTCTCATCCAATTCCTGTGCTTTATCCTTTGCACTCGCACTCAGTTTAGTCGGAAATGTAGTGATATTATTCTCCAGTTCTTTGAATGTTCCATTTCCATCAATATTTGTGAATGAGAAATTGAATACATCCCGACTGAGGCTTGCGTCTAAGGAATTGAGATCGTTTTCGAGTTTTTGTGCGAACACTGTGAGTTGAAGTAAGCTTTGTTAGAATTGAAATTAGAGAAAGGAAAGAGATTATCTTTTCTAAATAGACTGCATCCATGGCAGTAGCCCCTAGAAGGCCAGCGGAGCGTCATCTCCATTACTATTAATTGGACAACATAATGTCTGCCACTAGCCACCATCCATGAAGGTCTCGGAGCATCACCTCAACAAGACCAGAAATATCAATCCTATCTATGGGGGCAAGCCCCCAAACCCCCATCGCTCGCTGCGCTCGAAGAGATTGGTATTTCAATATCTTCACATCCTCATGTTCATGTTCATGTTCACCCCTCAGCCTTTCAACTCTCCAGCTCTTCAAGTTCCACTTCATGTACACACAAAAGCAAAACAGCAAAAAAAAAAAAAAAAACAAAGCAAAAAACTCACCAAACAAACCCCTCAACCTCTTATCCTTCACCTTCACCTTCTCCATTCCCATCCCATTAACCTCACTGCCCCCCTTCCCCATGCCTTTTCCTCTCCCACTCCCTCCGGAACCCCCCTCCTGCCGTGCAACACCAGCCCCAGCCGCAGTCCTCGTATCTCCCGCCATACCCATCATATATTCTCGTGCTCGCTTCTT